TTAAATATGAATTAAATGCAAGTTATTCACAGGAGAAAAATACAGGATTTGTCCTTTTGAATTCTAAGTGTTGAACTGTTTTCGATTACCCATAAGAGGCTGTGCCTCATTGCCTGTACTGTTAAATTGCAGTTTCTGTTTTAATTATTTATATTTAAAAGTCTTTTTCTACTAATCAAGTACAATTTTACTATAATATTAATTAACTAAATGAATTATACAAATCTGAAAATTGTTATTTAAATTATTCTTTTATAGTAAAAATCCACATTCTTTATAAATAAATATTTACAATACATATCATAAAGGCATAAATAATTTCATCCCAAACTTAGGCTGCCTATCTACAGCTAGCTCCGTCATACTGACGTAGATGGATCGCTGTGTGCAGTATGCAATAATTTAAGGAATGCCGTGATTTTATTATGCAGGCATTGATGGACAAAAGGCAGGTTGCTTTTTTTCAATATTCCAGAATTGTATAACCCCAAGCTACAGAACTGTGATTTTTAAATCTAGAATAACAAATAGAATTTTATCAAATTATATGCCACAGGAATTGCAAGTTTTAGTTTTAAAATAGAATATTTTGCCTAGTATACATTTAAAACTTTGTGTTTGCGATTTTTTTTAAAAACTTACTGCTACTACTTTTCTTGCATATTGCTTTTAATAGTCAATTAAATATCTAGGGTCCTGTGAAATTTGAGTTGAAAATAATTCTAATCTTTTATAATTAAGAATCTGGAATCATTCATACATTTATATTAAGTTTCATCTCTTCACTATTTTTGTAAATCTTTCATGGGGAAAGATTGTGTGTAGATAATTCATTATGCTTCATTGGTTTTTCAGAATTAAACAAAAATTCTTTCATCGATTGATAGAATATCATTTAATCAAACTGTCTCTTACTATAATGCATTATCATAAATGAAAATGTTTATTAGAATGTTTCATTTATTTGTTAAAATAAAGATTATATTTTAACAAATAAATAAAATATTGACATTTATTGTAGTTCACCCATGAATTATTGCTTTATTTTCGAATTTCGATTACATCTGTGTAATTTATTTTAGAAGTTAAATAATAATTTTTATCCTTATTTGCTCAGTTTATGCATTCAGGGAATTATTTGTATCAAATGGGCATGAATAAAGCATGCATTTTTCTTATTTCATCTTTGTTCTTATTCTATTTCTTTTCTTGTTATGATTGGTTGCCATCAAATGGAATTCTATACTAATGAATTATTTAAATCACATTTTATATAATATATCATGTATATTCCTGCATTAACTATATAAGCATAAATAATAAATTAGTGTACTTGTATGTTGATTATGTAATGAAAAATCTAGTGGAGTATAAGCTAAAATGATGTGTGAATAAATGGTTAATAACCATTACATGTCTTTGTTATCTAATTTATTGTTCAGTTTTCTGCACAGTGGAAATTTTACTTCAGACCAATTGTTGGTCAGCAGTAAATTTATAGTTTGAAAGATTGTCCCTGATGTTAATATGCCTACAAGCAGACAGTCCTATTTCTGGCAAAGCATCTGTATTGATAAAATCAATTTATGCAGTTAGTCAAGACAGGCCAAAATGACTGCCCTGGTGTGTTGTAGGTGTTTTGCCTGACAGATTGTCATCAATGGCTTCCACAACAAATAATCTGTGGATTATGCAGAACTAAAATTTCAACAACTGAATCATTTTATTTTTCATGCAGTATATTTTGCTATACAAGGTTATTACGGTAGATATTCATAAGAGGATGTCCGTACTTAAGCCCACAAAATATTGTGCTGATTTGGTTTTATTATTTTCTGCACTGAACCCAGTACTTCTTGCTTCCCAGCATGTTCACAGGAAATAGCGGGTACTATTTTAACTTGACGTGTATGATGTAATGCATTAACAGATGTGACCTTATTGTTTGATGTTGGCTTACCATTATTTCTATGGGCATTATTTATAGATTATGGCCTTCAGTCTGATGGTTTCATAGAGAGAGAAATGGGGTTTAACGTCTACTCAACACAAACTACGTCATTTTGGGACCAACACATGGTTTAATTTTATTTCAATCATTTACTTGTGCGTAGGGGTCTTTAGCAGTGGGAGGAAACCGGGGGACCCGGACAAAACCCATGAGGTTGGACAGGCGACCCTACTCCTTGTCATGTACAGCCGGGGAATCGAAACCACTCCAGTTGACTCAATGACAGACCTTATGATACAGCTCGCACATGCTAACTATTCGGCCATCCAACCCCCAATTTCATAGAAATGTGTGTAGATGTTAAGTGTAAGTTGTTTAAAGGTCTTGAGGAAGACATTGTGTCAAATGTATTGATAGAGAACAGTACAGTAGGTCTAGTGAATCAAATACAGTGCTTAATGTTTCGCTTTCAAATTTTAAACCACAAATATTTAGAAATTTTATAAATATGTACGTTCTTCAGTCTGTGCTTTTTAATTATGGACAATTATTATGTTAAGAATCATGGGAAATCTTATATAGATAGGACAATGTTCTACACAAAGGACTAAAATTGTAAACAATCCAAGACCTTTTACTGACAAAACATTTAAAGTTCTATCCCATGTTTATAGGAGAACACCAAATTCTTGGCCATTAGCCCAAAGCAACTTTCACATTAAAATCAAAGACTTAGATGGGCCACAATACAAAACAACTAGCAGCTGATAAATATATTTGCTGAGGACATGTTGTTGGTAGTATTTAAACATTGGCTAAAAAGGCAGTTTAACAAAAGAACCAAGTACATCGTAAGTACAGGTAACTCCTATGAAATTCAAGCATGTTTGTTTCATGTACATGCTGAATGGTCATCACAATCATAACATGAAAAAGCAAGAAGATATTTTACAAAAAAAAATTTATTTACATATTCGTAAGATATAAATAGAATAAAATAACTAACTTCTGTCACAGGATTAGCAATAAATGCTTTTTGTTCTTAACTACAATTATGTAGTAAATTCATTGTTCTTTGAAATATTTACGATTCACATTAATTTTATTTACTGTAAATAATATTGTCAGATTAAGTAGCACTATTGTCAAGCCCGATATCAGCTCCCTGAATTTTTTTTAATTTGGAAAATCAGATGTAGGGATAATACTAAAGGGAGATTCTCGTTTTACATACCAGCATACATTAAACTTGTATAAATTTTTTAAAGTTACAATTTCATATTTTGAAGTTATATTTTTAAAATGTATTAAAATAAAGCCCTAAAATAGATGGTATCTATAAACGTCCTACCTTGTTAAAGAATAGTCCTATTAATCCTATAATTCACTATTGCCAGTTGAGAAATTGGCAACAATATCATTTTCAACTTCAAATTCAAACATTTGAAGATTTCCATGGTGGGGAAAAGGAAAACTAGGGAGGTAATTGTGTTATTATTTCCAGTGTGAAGATTTTTAAGTGTGAGAAAGATAACCTATGATCGTATAATAGTGAGTTGACAACCTATTGAGCAAAAGATATAGAAATAATTATGTTTTGACTTTCTTAGAAAATATGAAATTGTAACTTTAAAATGAATTATAAATATATTCACAATCATTATTTACAATTGTCCCCCAAAATTTTTTTGTGAATATGTAATTTGACATTTGCCATCAAAGCATATACTTTCGGTAAATCTGGGTCCCCGGGGCGGACCAACTGATTTCCTTGTGCCCGGATTGTGGTGAAGAATTTTTTAAAATGAGAAAATAAAACCAGCTTGATTCAACTTTCCCTCACCCACCCATCCCTCAATTTCCTCCTCAGATATGTTTTTGTTTTGGCCATTATATATTTTTCAGTGGATACTCCAAATGGTTAGAGAATATATCATTTTTCTTGTAAATAAAAAAAAAAGAATTAAAAATGGAAAAAAATAGAATTCAAGCATAGAGGAATTTGTAATTGTTTTTAGAAATTTTCAGTTCATACCTATTAAAATATGGTAAAATATCACAAAATGTTGGGACAAATATGCCTGTATTAGGAAAGAAAGTGTTTGAAAAAATCCAAACTTAGCCAACACGGCAAAAATAATGCAGGATTAATATCACTATACCTAAAAGTATTCCTTGGTATAAAATCATGTAATTTGTTACTGTGGATAAATATGCCTGCTTATGGAAAGTTGTGATATTTGAAAACACAACACAATGAATGCAGCATTAATATCACTGTACCTAAAACTATTCCCTGAAAGTTGCAGCTTTCTAAAACAGTACTCTCAGTCCCAATACTATTTCCTAAAATAACTTAATGCCCTTTTTCAAACTATTCAATTACCATATATGTAACATGTAATGGATGATATAAATCGTTATTTAATATCTCAGTTTTAAAACTTATTTGGTCAATCTAGAAAAAGCATCATATCTTGCTTTCACCTCTGGGTAAAAGGCTGTAAAATAACACCTAACAAAAGTCTGTATGATCAAAGACTAATGAGTGTTAGTAGTGAAAAGAATTCCTTTCGATAAGTTTCTGAGAATAGCTTTCTATATTGCACAACCTAATTACCCAATATCCACCCATTCATCAGAAATAAACACTAAAAAAAATCAAAATAACAGCAGTAAAAGGAAGGAGTTATTATATTTAAACAAAAATAAAAGGTTTTTCCACCACAAAAATTCATCTTAATTAAGATCCCTTATCTAAAAAGCATCAGATCAAAAGTAATACACAACTGACAGTCTGATCCCATTTGTACTTTCTTTAAAAAAAAATCTGTTGATGTTTTTTAACAAATGCAATTTTCATGTTTGCCCTATTTACATAATACTTAACAATGCCACACCAATATGAATCATTCTTTGGGAACCCCTGTTAAAATTTTGCTTCCTATTTCTTCAGGAAAAAACATATTTAAAAACACTTGGTTGTTTTTCTCAAAAGCTTTTAGCTCCAATCTTTTAAGTTTTGAAATATTAAACAAAACATCATTCATGACATTTGAAATGGCTTTATTTATCACATCCAAAAAATTAAAAATTAAATTGGTTTAGCCTAAATCAGAGACAAATTTCAAGAGGTGGACAAATTAGACTGTCAGAAATCATTTTTATTAAAACATTTTCATTCCAAAGTAATCTATATTCAGAATAAACTATATTCTAAAAATAAACACAACAATAAACATATTATAAACAGACAGTTTTATGGATAACATTCACTAGGTTTATTAACTGCAACTTGTATATAACCTTCTGTAACTTGTTTGATTGTATCATTGCTTGATTAACGATGAGAGTATCCTCATTGAAACATTGCAGTTAATAAACCTAGTGAATGTTATCCATAAAACTGTATATTTATTATATATAGCTTTCACTAAATGCCTTTCAAAGATAATAAACTTATCCTTAAATCAAAATCAGATTTAAAATAAAAATTGATCATACTTACACAGCGTTAATCACACTCCCACACAAACAATTTATTACATATATTACATGGATAACAAATTCAGTTCATTCACAGGACACAGTGTTCAATTGAGTCAATTGTTGCACAATTTAACAAACATTATATGTTAGAAAACATCAGATGAACTGTACTACTAGATTGTTACAAAAAATTAGGATTAATAAGGCAAGGGGGGTTTGAGAGACAATTCGGGTATTCTAAATCTAATTCACCATTCACCTTAAGTAGCGTCTTTAAGTAAGTTCACAGTAGATTATTACATGACTATTATGTCAAATCTCATTAATCATATATACTCATTTACTCACCATAAATCTTATGTAATATACAGTACTATCACTTTGTATATAAATATTATATACATGTAGTAATTAATATAAACTAGAAATCTCTAAACAGATCCTGGCCAAGGGTTTTGTAAATCTGTTCAAATGCCAACTCAGGTCAGATCGGATGTAATTGTTGAGTTGTGACTTCTGATCAGTTACTCAAATCGGTTCACTAAAATGATTTATGTACCTTTAGGTCAATTATGGCAGCCTCCACAATCCAACATAAGAATATCTGTGTGTCCTAATAACATGAAATGAATGTAGATTCATGACTTTTGTTTACCTTTATAAACAAACATTGTCCTTCTATCAGTTATGTTATCCTTTTACTTGTTTATTTATCTATTAATTCATTCAATTTCTAGATCCCAAATGATCTGAAGGCCTTGCCACAGATATTGACCTTGTTTGGAATTTTGTCAAAAATCCAAGAAAATTATGCAATCTAACTTGTTTCACCAAGTTCCATCATTATCTTTCTTACCCTATTTGTTATGGCGGGTTATTTTTTCTACACAAACCTTGCACTTATCCGAATATGTTAGGTCTTACCCATGTTATTATTTGAACTGCCCCCATACGTTTATATGTCATTTGCAAAGATGTATGAAAAAGGATTTATTAATATCCAATTTTTCAAAAATAATTGACCCTGAGATTAAATAAGTCCACAATGAGTAAATAGATACAATGATATGAGGATGGTCTTCTACCAGTAAAGTCAATAAATAATAATTGTCCGTGATGGAAATCACCAAACATAGAATCACGAAAAAACTTTTTTGCCCAATCTACCAAACACTCCACCATCTTTTTTATCAGTAGTCGTTGTACTAGTTGTTGTACTGGGTTCTTCCATCTTTGCTCCAAGTCGTTTTCTTAATCTTAAACCAGCACCTTAAAACAAACAAGCAAAATATCAAATTTATTGGATAAGGAGTAAATAAAATCAAAACCCTTCTTTCTTTTTTAATAACAGTAAGATATTCTTTAAAAATTGGGAGTGTATTAAATAGTTTTGTTTCACTGAATTATAAGAGAAAATAATGGGATTGATGATTTAGTTGTGAGAGAGAGAGAGAAATGGGGTTTACTGTCCACTTGACACAAACTAGGTCATTTCGGGACTAACATATGGTTTAATTTTATTTCAATAATTTGCTTGTGGGTAGGGGTCTTTAGCAGTGGGAGGAAACCGGAGGACCTGGAGAAAACCCATGAGGCTTGACAGGCGACTCTACTCCTTGTCATGTACAACCGGGGATTTGAAACCAAAACCACGCCAGTTGACTCAATGACAGGTCTTTTGATACAGCACGCACGTGCTAACCATTCGGCCATCCAACCCCCCGATTTAGTTGTGAGATAAATGGTCTTAAAATATCAACAGAATTGCTTCTCTCACTATTTATGTTTTAAAAAATATGTATCTTTGATAAAATTGTGCGTTCTGTGCTGTATTCCTGTACTGTTTATACTTTCCGTACTTTATTGCAGTGTCTACTTTGATCTGAATCACCATTATACAAACTAAATACTATGAATTTTCTGTACATGCAATTGTGTACTTTGCATGATCACTTTTGTATTTTGCAATATTTATTCAGAGAACCTAAATATACAGTTGCTGAAAAGATTATGAAACTTGGAAGTAAATGATTATAACTTTACCTTCAAATTCTCGTTTAGCACTACTACCTGCTACTTTAATTTTCATATTGGCTGTAGTTTTCACTGCACCTTCATTCTTACTATCTGTTGTACTACTAGCTGGAGCTGTGATAACTTTTTTACCCAATCTTTCCTTAGCACTACGGGATTCAGCTGCCGATGTTGCATATGGTGAGAATATACCAGCAGTAGTTGATGATGTTGTCGTAACCTCTGCTTTTTGGACAACTATAATAATTTGTTAAAATAAATTAAATGTATGTACACTCACTTTACAGCCATGAGGTCTTTATTAGAAAATGTACAATAGGAATTTAGGTATAACAATAAATTTGGAAATTTGGTTAGATTTTTTGTGATAATTATGGATAAACTGTGGTTTTACAAATAAAAAAAACTTGACCCATATAATGACAACTATGTGAACGCAGCAAATAAAGTCCCCGCCATTATGCTTGGAATTTCACATTTCTGTAAAATGTTTTAATGTAGACACCATACTTGCTATTCACATGCTATAGTGGAATTAGTGCTCTCGTATGTGAATGGAAGAGACCAAAATTCAAAGTGGTGGCAAAAAGTTTACCCTAAGGAGTAGGGACGGGTAACTCCATGGAGGGATAGTACTGGGCCCATAGATCATAAAAAACCAAAGAACCCCATATACTTACTTATTGTCTTTTTAATATTGGGTAATTTTTTCAGAGTAGTAGTTTTAATCATGGCAGTTTGAACTGGTGCTGGTGGGCTATCTACGGCTACTTTTTTCACCTTGTTAGGAGAAAGTTTAAACAAACCAGCATACTCTAAAGGTCTATCACTAGTAACACCATCTTCATCTAATGAGGTAGAAGAAGCTGGTCTTTTTAATGTTGTTTTATCACCTAATCTATTAAATACTGATGACTGAAAGAAATAAAGATAGGTTGCCAGACAATGCCCAGTGCAGCTAAGTGTTCTGAGCAATCCAAAAGGGTTGTTGCATTGTTATGTAGGTAATGGGAGCATTATTAGAAATAATTAAAATATGATTGGCTTCTAGTTTTTCATTTACTACATGTATATAAAACGTAAAAGGTAACAATGATAAATTTAGCTGTCTGAGTTATCAGAAATCGCTGAAAATAATTAGGATTCGTCACATAAACACTGTGTATTCATTTCAAATCAATCAGAAAATAACTCCACTAGATGGTCCAGAACATTTTAAAGATAGGATGCCAGGCAACAAAACTTACGCACAAAAATGAAATGAAATGGGGTTTAACGTCCTACTGTTCTGCTCCTATACTGGGCTAATGAAGACGGGCATACGCCATACAGTGTGCTATGAGGGAAATTTTGCCCGGGCAGCGGCACTATCGCCTACTCTTATATCGAATTCCAACTGCCAAGGAATCTTTTACGTGCATTCCAATGTTTACACGGGACCTCGGTTTTTCGTCTCATCCGAAGGACTAGACAGCTGTCCTTGTCAGGCCCTCCGTCCTGCATCACTGACAAGGGGAAACCAACTTACGCACAAAGCAGCTAAATCACCCGAGATGATGACAAGGGTTGTCTCATATTTAGTCTTTTGTGGGTAATGGGAGTGTTTACTAGACACTGACAACAATTTAATAACTTTTGTCATTTGATGTTCACAAGGTTCTACAAAGTAAAACAAGGGCCAAAACCCTTATACTTATAACTAATAAATGGAAATTGGTGGAAATCAATGGACTTCATTTTTATAATTTAAATAATGCATATAAATTACATTCAGATTGGATGGTAACTTTTGTCATCCGAGCGTTCACAGGGGTCTACAAGTGGAAAAATGGCCATATCTCCAGAAGTTATAAATGGAAATTGTTGAAATTTATTAGACTTCTCTGACTAATTTAAATAATGCATATAAATTTCATACAGATCAGAAAACTTCTGTCATTTGAGCGTTTACAAGGTTCTACAAAGTGAAACAAGGACAATAACTCTAGAATTTATCAATGAAAATTGTTTAAAGTCGATAGACCTCTCTGATTTACTAACTTAAATCATACATAAATTTCATACAGATCTGATCATAACTTTCGTCAATCGAGTGTTCACGAGGTTCTACAGCTCTAGGATTTAACAGAAAGTGTTGAAATTAAATAGGTTTCTTCATCTCACTAATGTTAACTACATACATACATTTTAAAACAATCGGATGATAAACGTAGTGTGTAGAGTGTTGACAAGAAATTGTGGATGACGGACGAACCAAGGTACTGACGGGGGCGGCGAAAATATACGACTACATTTCCATGTGATCAAAAGTAATAACTCTGAAAGTAACTCTAGACCTTTTCATTTCTTGAACATAATAACGGTGTGTGGCAATAAAGGCACAAGAAAAATAAATTTATAATGTTGAGCATCTAATGTTGAGCATCTACAAGATTGTTTGAAGTTATAAAGGCAATAATTAATTCTGGCAGTAATTATCGACATATAAACTCTGTGTATAAGTTAAATCGGATAATAAATTGTTGACAAATGGCCAAACCAACAAGAGTGACGACAAAAGGGTATCTTGTTTCCCCTAGCTCTATATGCTACTCCTATTGCAACAAACATTCTGAAAGTGCTGTTAAGCAATACAGTCACCATTAAATCTGATCTGTATCTACCGGTACTAGATTTATGACATCTACAGATCAAATTTCAGCTCAAGATTTCCAATAAAAATAGAAAAAGTATTCAAAACTGTATTGAAGTTGAACAGTCATAATTTCTCTGAAAGATGTTAACTTGGATGAAAAGTTGCACTTGGTCTGTATCTCCCATACTACAAATATGGATCTTGATGCATTACACAAAAAATCTCTATAGATCGCTCCACTTGTAGGGGACTAATAACATTCAGCTTATAAACGTGATACATTGAATGCACAATGACAATGTTACAGATAAGTGTGGTCAATTTCAAACATCTATTAAAAGTTTGTATAGAATGTTTACCTGGGGAGAAGAACTTAAGCCTGTAATTGTTCTTTGGGGTACCGATGTTGGACTTGAAGAGTCTGCGCCAAGACGATCAAAAACTGATGACTTTCTTGATTCTAAAATAATTAAATGGTTTTTTTATATCAGAACATGTAACAGTGACTAAATGTAGTAGACAAATAAACAATCAATAAAACTTAACAGACTTTATTTTATACCACCACAGTTTATTATTATGTTATGTAACTTATTACCTATTTCAGGTTTAGGAGAGGGAGCTTTATTCATAGGTGCTGATTCTGGATGTTTTCTCATATAATGTCCCACCATTCTACTGGCAGCTGAAAATATAACAAAAATTAGCTCATAGTCTGTCTAAGTCTTGCAGCTTTAAATCTTTAATAGTCAGTTTTGATTCTGTAGATTGGCAATCTGTCCTTTTAATTGTAAAATTTAATTGATCGCTTATCTCTATTTGTAAATTGTAGAATTGTTAGTTCAAATAATTAAAATATCAAGAAGCTTATTACCACATGGTAAGTCAACTAATAATCACTTTTTTATGCATTGTATATGTTGCTACTGGAAAGAAAATTTTACCTGTAGATTTTTTTGGAATTGGGGAATTTCCATTGTTATTATTATTCTGACTTAATATATCAGAACCTTTGAGTGCACGATCCCTTGCAATCTGTATAAGAAATCAAATTAAAACATGGACATATGTTTCATAGTTTTCAACTTTTCTTTCAAAACAAGAATGAAAACCATACTTTTTTAAAAATCAGTTTACCTTCAAGTACCGGTACGTACTGGGTAGTTAAAATAATGACACATGTTTCTCTGAATCAACACTAAAAACTATTTTTCATACAACTACTGTAAACTTATATCAAAACCACCTGAATCCACATTATTGTCTATCTATTCATTATATTACTTTGAAATGACCTAATTCATAAACTTGGATGAATATGAAAAGCATGGTACATGTAAGAGAGTGAAAATGCACTAGTCTCAGTCATCTGTACACTCTGTTGGCTGTCACGTTTGCCTACTCCCCTTGAAATAAAATATCATTTGCTTTCTTCATATATCCTTATGGCAAGGTCTGCTTTCATGGAAACAAGTCTTGATTACCATTTAAAATATCACAATTGTTTTGTCATTGAACAATTAAGTTATACCAGTATAAACTTACTGATAGTGATACTTACATGTATATGTCCACTCAACATGTAGAAGTATTCCAGATTGATAGCCCAACCCAACCTGCCATTAAAGAAAAAAAACTATCATGCAAACTTCGACATTTTACCTGAGAATTAACTGTTTTAGCATGCTTCAAAATAGCTATTATGTCTCCCAATATGCTTATTCCCATATCTTTTAAATATTCTTTGGACAGATCTAACAACATTTCTTTATGTATCCTATTATCTGTAAATGTTACAGCATAGTTCGCTGCATCTCCAGCTGGAATACCTGCCTCTGTAAAGAACTTCAGCCAATATGAGGTTTGGTTATCTAAATGTGTGTGAAATAAAAAAGAATATACATGTATTAATTAAATCTCAATAAATATTTTTCCTTTCACACAGTAGTACTAGTAGAGAAATAATTTAGTCCGCGTTGTATGCCTGCTAATGACTTATTCTAGGTTTGACTAGGTTTCCTGATTGGCTTGGTTCCTTGTGCAATGAACTGAAATTGAACAGTATCAGTTACATATAGGTCTACAATTCTACATGTATATTATTAGTTTTTTCTATGCAGTAGAGGGATTACTATTATTGCTGGGAGTAAACCATTATTGTTGAAATGTCATTCTGTAGGTTTGTTTCTTTCTTTGTCCAGGTCATAGACATAGTCATATCTCTGACACTGCTGCATTGATGTTGACCAAACTTGCCAAATCGCAACCCATAATAAACAATATTTTTTTTACTTTTCGGTCTACCTTCTAGCTAAGATGTGTTGATAGGTTCGAACAAAAGTTTTACAAGTAACAACAATACATGTAATTACAGATTTGACTCCACCTTGGTTATGATATAGCCTATTTATTGTGTTTCAGTGAGTAGAGTACCGGAAGGTCCCGTGTTCGATCCCTTGGCAGGTGCAATTCAATCATCAGCAGGCGTTAGAACCACTGCCTGAGCAATGTTAATGGCACAGTACATATGTATGTTTTCATTAGATTGGTTGGTGCAAAATGCAATGGATCAGAGCCAGAGCCAGTTATGATTTGCTTCCGTTTTACTAAGTTACTACTAGTCATGACTCATACCCCAGGTTATAACTCACTTTGCCTTGAATAATGTGTACGTATCATAACACAAATCAAAACGTGTCAGTCTTGACTTGGCAGACTTGTCTCACAATCACATTATTACTACAAAATCTATTTCTAGTTCGATTACATGTCATTTGGGACTCACGACATTTGGGACTCGCATCATTTGGGAGTAAAAAAAATATGACCACGACATTTGTGACTCGGGTATACGACGTTTGGGACTTTGGTATACGTCGTTTGTGACTCCGGTATACAACGTTTGGGACTCGGGATAAATTATTAGAAATAGGCCAATTCAAAACACGAAAGAAAATATTTATTAACATGAAACATGTGGTTAGTAAAAGCCTCAACCAAACGATAAAACATTAGTTGCACTTTGACTTACGGTTCTTTGATAATCATCGTTTCTCATAAAAGTTATATATTTATTTAAAACGAATAATATGCGGATGAATTTATTTGAAAATGACCTACACAAAAAACAAAATAAAAAATTTACACGACATCAAGTCCCAAACGTCGTCAACTGAGTCCCAAATGTCGTTTATGTTGAGTCCCAAATGACGTGATACCTCTAGCTAGTTCTACTTGAGTACTTCTACTAGTATTGATTTCGTCCATTTTAGAACGTTCTTTCGTGAAATGGGGCCAATGTGGACAGAATAATTAATGTTAATGAATGTAAATATTTAAAAGTCCTGTTTATACACACGTAGGATGCATTTATCTTTTAAAAGGGGGATAAATAATAAAAGGATAACCATTTCAATTTTATTTTTACCTGATGCGAAACTCGCCATCTTGAAATAAAAATCGTTAAGGGGAGGTCACTCTAATGATGGACTGGACTCAGATAGCAATTGTTATTCCATGGCTGTAACATCACAAGCTTTTTGCTCAACATTTCGTTGGTTCCAATCTTTAAAGGCACATATAGGGAACCGCATTTGGCACGCCCCACATCATAATTTTGTGGGGGGTTGACAGTTTAGATTTTTTGCTAAGAGGATTTAAGTCGGGGGTCAAAATGTCACATCGGATGCAAATTGGCTCTGCATACAAAGACACTTGACACCCCCACAATTATCCCTCGTTTACAATGTCATCAGTATTACCCAAAACTGCTATGAAATTGCAAGTCTGATCCTTTTTCTCCAATTCTAGGCCAAAACGTCAACCACAAAAAGGGAAGAAAAAGGTGTATATACAGTTGTGCTATGAGGGAAATTTTGCCCGGACAGTGGCACTGCGGCCTACTCTTATGTCGAATTCCAACCGCCAAGGGATCTATTTTGTATAGGCTACACAGGACTTCGGTTTTTCATTCTACCCAAATGACTATACTTTGTCCCTTGCCAGGCCCTCTTTCCTGCACCACTGACAAGGGGGAACCATGCCGGAACATATTCTCATACAAACATTATACATTACACCAGTTCCATAAAATAATAAAATAGTGGTTGGCCTAAAGGTAGAAAATATTATCATTCAGATTAGCTGCCCCCAGTAGTGGATCCAAGTGGAGGGTTTAGGTGCCTTGCAGCCCCCCCCCCCCTCCTCCCATATATGACAGTATGAACGAGAGCATCGCTATCGCTGCAATATACGTCCACATTCCTGCTTTGTTTTGCCACATTTAGGCATACAGACTAAATTTCTGCCACAGGGGGTTGAACATGGACCAATATAAATAGGTACATTCCTATGATGGATCATACTGAATTGGATACAAATATGTTAATAATTGCAACCTGTACATTATTTAGAGACAAAATATTAACAAAAAGTGGGTGTGGCACCGCCCAAGGGGGGGGTGGTGGCGGACCATGTACCAAAATCAATAGTTGCCATCCTTGGGGTATAAGGAATAAGTTTACTAAGTTCCAAGATAATCCATTCAGAATTGTGGCTTTCAGACACTAAACACCAAAAAATGGGCATGGCTCTGTCCCTGGGGTCGCGACATGCACCAAAATCAATAGTTGCAGCCCTTAAGCTATAAGGAATACATATGCCCCATTCAGAATTGCGGCCAGTATAAGATAAACACAAAAATTGGGCGTGGCTCTGTCCGTAGGAGACGGGACATGCACCAAAATTAATAGTTGCCATCTTTAGGCTATAAGGAATACTTATATCAAGTTCAAAGACGATCCATTAAAAATTGTGACCTGTAGGCAACACACAGACACACAAAGCCCCTGGGGGTCGGGCATTCACCAAAAACAATAGGATCATCCTTAGGGTATAAGGAATAGGTAGGCAAAAGTTCTAAAAACATCTGTAAAGAATTCAGGAGTGTAGGTGACAAAAAGACACAAAAATTGGGCGTGGCTCTGTCCCAGGGGTTTGAGCATGCACCAAAAAAAAGAAAGGTCATCCTTAGGGTATAAGGAATACGTATGAAGAATTTTTAAGACGATCCATTAAGAATTGCGGCCTCTAGACGACACACAGAGGGTCGGGCATTCACCAAAAACAATAAAGGTGATCCCTAGGGTATAAGGAATAAGTATCTAAAGTTTCAAGAAGATCCGTTAAGAAATGCGTCCTGTATATGACAAACAAACAAATACAAAAAATGGGCATGGCTCTGCTCCTGGGGGTCGGGCATGTACCAAAAAACAATAGGGATCATCCTTAGGGTATAAAGAATAAGTACCGGTATACAAAGTTTCAAGACAATCCATTAAGAATTGCACTCTGTAGGCAACCCACTGACACACAAACATACACACCCACACATACATAGTACATACATACACACACAGACAGGTGCGAGGGCATAATACGTCCACAATATTTCTCTGTTTCTATGAAATGTGTAAATTTTAGCTTTATGTTGGTTAGGATGGTGAATCTGATGAAATTAAATAGTAGATTCGAGTCCAGCTAGATATTGCCACAAATCACCATTGACACCCATTTTTTCAAAATCTCTTCGGAGGAGAGACACCCCGACCTACTTCGGGTTCCCGTTAACCAAATATCCTGCATCCGCTATTGGCTGCCTCGGAAGACAAGAACACCAGGTTTTGGAAATAGCAACAGTCAAAGGGCTAGTGTTAGCTTTTCATGCTGGAAGCAAGTATTTGAATATACAAGTGTTCACTGGACGCAAGTATTTGATTATACAAGTGTTCACAAGCCAATTACTGAGAAAAATCTTGCCAGCTATAATTGATAAACCCTATTCAATTTCAAAACTAAAAATACAGCCGTTACTTAGTGATATGCAAAGTGTGTGTGTTACATGTAGTTACTTGTATATGTTATACTGTTTAATATGCTAATGACAAACAATCTTCTGGCAAACACATTTATGGATTTTTTTTATTTTATTTATAGTGAACTTATTGATCACTTTCTGTCTGTAAATTTATTTTTCAAGGTCATAAGAACTACCATACTTTTAATTAAAAATAAATTTTAAGGTTACACTACTAGATAACCTAACAAAACTTGAGAGAACAAATCTTTAACCATATTGGAAACAAATTTAAGTAGATTCTAAGATATTCCACAAGCCAAGTGCATAGACAAAAACTTTGATAACTAGTAAGATATTTGCTGCAATATTCTGAATCTGACAGCATCACCATTTTATTCAAGTCAAATTTCTCTTGAACCACCACTAAACACTTTCCATCTTGTAAGTCAGTTATAAGTTTTGAAGACACCATTCTTCAAAATGTTATTTCATAAATCATCAATGCAAAAACCGACATTATAATATAAATAGACCTATACATAAAGTACATACCGGTACTATTTATTAAGTAATGATTCTCTTAAGATTTTTATCTGAGAATCTATATCTGTCAATGAGATGCTTGGTTCACTACTAATTTGATTGATTTTTGGTTCATGAGATCGTTTAACATATTTTCTAGCTGGTATTTGATTAAAGTATTCTGGTGAAAGGCCTTCTAAAAATAAAATTCTATTCTCTAATGCCTTTAATCTAGCACATAAGTCTTTGGATTCATTATTGACATGGGAGTGAGTTTCAATATTTTTAAGTCTTTCCTCCATGCCCGATACATCTTGTCCCTGTTTCTTGGATGGTTCAGTACAAATTTCATCTTGATTGGTGCTCAAGAGCTGTGTCTGTGGTCCAAATGAATTTACAACTTTAGTTATTTTAATGTGACTTCTAGAACCAGCTCTTGGAATAAATACTGAATCAGTTCTAGCACAACTCCAATTGTCTGTAGTTAGTCCACTGCCAAAACTAAATTCTCTTTTATTAAATTCATTGACTTCAACCTGTTTTTGGTTCATGTATGATTCAATTCTTCTGTCTATTTCACTCTTACTAGCTCTTATTTGAACAGTATTCTCATGAGACTTGTCATCCACTGAATACGATATTTTTTCATCTTGTTCTTCATATCTGTAAAGTATAAAAGAAGACAGTTCATATTTCATCGAGTGATCAACTGACATGGAGTGTGTTGTTTACTTGAAGTTAATTAACAACAGGTCTGGTCAGCACATCTTTAATATTAGTGATTTTGACTAGCCTTAATGTTCAACCAATGTTGAGATATAGTTGAATGATGTACTTTGAAAAGATATGCACAGGGGGATACAAGGACACCAGAAATTGTGGTTATGGCTTACAATGGATATTCTCTACCCATGAAATCATCTTGAACTAACCTTATTTACAAGTAGGCCTATAGTAGGTCAAATTTTAACTTTTGCCATAATATGGCTATTTTATAGTTAAAGCTCTTCTACTTCTTTATTCTTTAAGTTTAATCTTAGTTGTTTTTTTAGCTGAGTCTCGGCTTGTCTAGTTTTTTTTAGTTGGTAGGCTACGGTTCCTAAACAGATAATAGATCTATGCAAAAATCAAAATATTGTAAATTTCTATTGATATATTTCAGAGTAGGCCTATAATATAATATTTGGATCAAATTAGTCAAACCTACGTTTTTTCAGACATGGAAAAATTTTCTGGTGAAGTTTCGTCTTTAAATTCTCTACTTCCACTTTCACCAAGAAAACAGGTTTTTATCTTGGAGTAAAGAACATCAAGATGTTCTTTGAACTTTTCATTCTCGATGGGTCTTGCTGGTGCAGTAACTATGAAATCCAGTTCAGACTTCTGTAAGGTTTTCACTTCACATAAATAATCACAAATATCTGGAATGATGCCTAAAAATATGTTTTCGAATTTCTCCATGTTGGGACTAGCTAGTCTCGGCTTTTCAACTTGGTATCAATTTGAAGAAGGGGAGGTAACCTATGGATAGGGGAAAGAACGTCGTTAAATAATTTTTGATAACTTATCATCGTGTATGATTGACTCTTCTTTAGTCTTTGTCGTTTGAATGGCATTTAGTATCAAACAACACACTATATGGAATAACAATTAAACCATAGTAATTGTTATTCCATAAAAGTGTGTTATTTGATTGAGTTTGCCAATTTGTGTTCGTTTAATTTATAAATTAAAATATATTTTAGGCCTACTCTATAAATTTCAGTCTATTCAGAGAATTAAAACCTAAAATTAGTAAAATACTTTTAAATAAGAACATATGATTTTGATATAGGTTAATTATTATTTTATTAATGTATTTGTGTATACTATATATAATAATCAATTATAATATGCAAATAAATTATTAGGCCTACATAATACCATTACTAATACTATGTCCAAAATTCAAGAGAAACCTAGTCAGAACTGGAATGACTTTGTAAAAGGTAGGCCAAAATATCAGGGGTATGTCATTATTCAGTATTAATATCAGATTAAATTCAGCTACATTAAATTGACACACACTTTTAGAGGCACTTATAATTGTTTGGCAGGGCCTAAAATCCAAAGAAATGATGAAGTACCAGTAGGCCTGGCCTCTATAAGGTTTAGGCTACTATTGGAAATGATGCAATATTCCAGAGCAAAAAAATATGTCTAAGCGGTGCACTCAAATTATGTGTTAGTTACTTCCTAATATCTAATACATATATAGGTTAAATATATAGGACATGCACGAATGGTCTCTATTTCCAACTTGGGGTTTGGGTGGCTGAATGGTAAATTAGTGCGTGTTACACCATAAGATCTGTGATTGTTTCAAATGGCGTGGTTTTGATTCTACACTTGTGCGTGTCAAGGAGTAGGGTCGACAGCTGTCCAACCTCATGGGTTTTCTCCAGTTCCTCTGGTTTCCCTCCACCGCTGAAGACCCATAGGTGCAAGTGAATTATTGAAATAGAATTGAACAGTTTGTATCCAGTGAACATTAAACTCTCGCTCTCCAACTAACCATTAATGATATATTCATTTCAGAATATTTGTTGACAGAATATGAGCCTACTGTATCTGGTGCATGCATGTCAACTAAACAAGGCATACCAGTACTTAATTATGGAGAACTTAGCCATCTGAAACAGGTATTGTATTTTAAATATAAAGTTGTTTTGTCCAGTTCGTCTGCATCCTGTGCACTAGATCCACTACCAACCCAACTTGTTAAACAGTGTATCAATGAATTATGTCCAGTTTTAGCCCGTATTATTAACACGTCTCTCAAAACTGGATGTTTTCCAGACAACTTAAAATCAGCTTTAATTAGTTTTTCCATTGATCAAGAAGTGTAACCTGGACACTAATGTGTTTAAAAACTATAGAACTGTATCCAACTTGTTATTTCTTTCTAAAAATATTAATTGAGAAAATCGTTTCAATCCGCTTTCAATCAGCATATAGAACTGGCCACAGTACAGAAACAGCCCTCCTTCGAGTCTATAATGACATTCTATGTAAATTAGATAGTAAAAACCCTGATCTTTACTACTATATTTTGATTGTTATCGTATACCATTTTAATTTCTTTTATCATCCATTTAATAATGTGCAATTTTATTTTATTTTTCTATGTGTGATGCCCACAAAATGTTAACTGTGTCAGTATTTTATATTGGTAATAGGCGCATTATAAATAAAATATTATTATTAATTATTATTATTATTATTACCAGTAATAGTATGTCAGTGCCAATAAGTATGGGAATAATATCCATGCAAAGCACACTTCTACAACCTATAGTTATAAAAATTGATAAAGTAAGAATAATGAAATGAAAATCAAATGAGGTTAATTGTCCTACTTTTCTGCACCAACTGTACCTTTGACAACACCATGCAGAGTGCCAAGAGAGAAATTTTGCTGGATGTTTCTGTCTTCTTAGGGGTTCTTTTGGCAGCGAGTACACAAAAACTTTTTTTTGGTCCCATCTGGATGACGAGACAGTGTTCCTTGCCAGGTCCTCCGTCAGGTACCAGGAGGAAACTAGCCTTCAGTTTCTTGCGGAACTTTCTCGGCCATCACTAGGGATTGAAACTGGGACCTCCTGACTACAGTGAGACAGTATGTTACTCACAGTGCCATCATGGTCCAGAAATAAGAATAGTTCATCAAGTTAACTTGCCACAGGGCAACCCTCTAACCGATGCATCAGGGGCAAGTGGTATTAAGTGTTCCAAAAATGGACAAAATATTTTGCTGCTTGCACAACATTCATTACTATCTGTAGCTAAGATTTCAATAATGGCCAAAGTTTTGACCGAGACAAGAATTCCCTTTATAAAACTTAGAATCCACAATTGCGTAAGTATGGAAAAGGATGTGTGTCAAATGTAATACTGTATAATCTTCTAGCCAGACACCTGAATTGTGGTATCAAAATTTTATGTTTAATTGTATGATTTTTTTGCAGGCTGACATGAAATATTTTCTCTCCTTGTTCAATCCTAAACCTAAACAGGAGGAAGAATTTACTGAAATATATTTACCAAATACTCGATTCAAATTCAGAGTTATTTGTCAAACATATAAGAGGTAAATTTATGTTTTATCAATGTGAAACCTTGTAAAAAAAAAATAGCAAAACTATGTAATACATGTGTGGTTGAAAGGTTGACAGCGAGACATTTAGTAGAATATTGATACTGCACAAGGTCTTCAGCCCTAGTGTTTTATCAATATAGTATGCAATGTCTTGCTTAAGGCTTTTAACTTAAAATATAGATACACTCTGTAGCACAGACTTTTGCAGTCATCATGCAAGTCCAATATTTTTGCCATCTTAATAAATAATGTATGATTGGCACAGTGGCTGTACCATTATTTAAAAAAAATCTCAATAGTGCATGCCTATATTATATGACTCCCCCCCCCCCCCTCCCAACTGCCATAAAAAAATGATTGTAGACCAGAATTGACCAAACCCATACTATATGTACTAAAGTATTAATTTTCGTCATCATTTTTTCATTAGTATATATGGAACTGCTTGTGATAGGAATGGTACAGGATTACTTATTAATAATTTACCACAAGGTGTATTAGTGTGTGTATATCATCATCCAGTTAGTAGGGAAGTTGCTGTAAAGAGAGTTGAAGCTTTCTGTGACAGATTGTGTGCATAACACTTTAAGCTAGACAATGTTGGTGTCCACTAATTTTAAGATTGAGATCTTTGCTATGGTATACGTGAATAAACTATAATTAACCTCTCCTGCCAGGGATTGTAAAATATTCTTGGTTTAGAGGCAGAAAGATAACAGAGTTAAGAGGTTGGTTACTTGTTTATACAAATTTTGGAGTAAAGACATGGCTCATTGTTGCTCTATCTGTAGTGAAAAGCATTCAGCCCAACGAAAAAATTTTGGAAAAGTTTAAGCCAGGCAAAGACCAGAATTAACATTAAAGTCACGACAATGGGAAAAATAATGGTGGTTTACATCCAAACAAGTCATTAAAGTTACCTCCCTTGCATCATTATTCACCACCTATAAAATTTTGCTCAAAATGGGAGTATAAATGAAGTCATGAAGGGAATAAAAGCTCAGATTAGAACTGAATGTTTCATTCGCCTATTTATAACTAATTAACATAATTGACGTTCTTAGAAAGAACATTAAATGATGTAGATTTTGTGACAAAGCGGGGGGAAGTGGATGGCCGAATGGTTAACAAGTGTGCGCTGCATCATAAGTTCTGTCATTGAGTCAACTGGCGTGGTTTCAATTCCCTGGTTGTACATGACAAGGAGTAGGGTCGCCTGTCCAACCTCGTGGGTTTTCTCCGGGTCCTCCCACTGCTCAAGACCCCTACGCACAAGCATATGCCATACAGTATACTATGAGGAAAATTTTGCCCGGGCAGCGACACTATGGTCTACTCTATATCGAATTCCAACTGCCATGGGTTATTTTACATGCACGCCAATGTAGGCCTATACATGGGACCTCGGTTTTTTGTCATATCTAAACTACTAGAAAGCTGTTCTTGTCAGGCCCTCCATCCTGCACCACTGACAAGGGGAAACAACTTCGGAAAATCCCAATGAACTTTCTCAGCCAATGCAGGGAACGAACATGCATCTTCCAGATTAGCGAGCCAGCATCTCACCCACTTAGCCACCGTGGCTCGCTCATATCATAGCATATCACTGGTGTGGATATATTACTATTAATAATAAAGGTAAATACATTCATAATATCAAATCATAATGGCAATGAGTTATCTTATCTTGTGTTTAATTTAGTCAGGTAAGATTTATATATTAGGGTATCACCCATTATAAATCATTAAAGTAAACAATTCACTACCAGTATTCTGATTAATGGCTTTTAAACATACAGAAAGCAATCATACTCTAAATTTGCTCTGGATGTATCAGACTAACTTATATATTGAAAATAATGGACAGTTTTACCAATAATAGACACTTATCTGAAAAATGAACATGTATTTTAGATAATTTATTCTCTGAACAAATTAAATTACATTAACTTCATAGTTACCCAAATATCAATTGACCGAATGTAGATTTCACATGTTTGTCTACATGAAGAATTCCACTTAAATCCGCCCGTTCTATGTCACTGGTACGTTTAATGGTACGTTCGGCACTTGATCAATAATACGTTTTTATATACCCACATTTTCACATTTTCTTTGTGGACACTCTACAGGTCATAACTTGAAATATAGGTTTATATCACAAATATCCCAGTTCCTTTCGATATCAGCTTGTATGTGACCATAACTTCATGGGTTATGGTCCCTGATTGGACACTCTAAAGGTCACAATTTTTATCCCATTTTGATGAAACTGAACATGTGTGTTTATAACCCAAAGATCTCGATTCCTTGCAATATTGGCGCATATCAGACCGTAACTTCCTGGATTATGGCCACTGATTGAACAAAAAAACGTGTTTTGAGCCTGTGGAACCTATACAGGTAACAATTTTTATCTGTTCAGATATATCACCGTTACACCATAATAACAGCTGAGTTTGAATTTCGTGAATAAGTCTGTACCTTTGATCCTGTGTCACTGTCACATATATTAGAGTATATATTAAATTTCAAATCAAAATTTGGACGGCTAGTACCCTCCATATTAACCACATTACTAAGAATATTATCAATATGTAAATCATTTTCGTGAGCATCCTTTCCATCACAACTTTGACGGCTATTATCCCCCATTTGGGGACTAACACATGGTTCAATTTTATTTCAATAATTTGCTTGCGCATAGGGGTCTTTAGCAGTGGGAGAAAACCCACGAGGTTGGACAGGCGACCCCACTCTTTGTCATGACCCTATTCCTTGTCAGGTACAACCGGGGAATGGTAACCACATCAGTTGACTCAATGACAGACCTTATGATACAGCCCCCCCCCACCTCCATTGTATAACTGGAGTGTTTTGTCACATATGTGCATGTGTTTTGTGGCTTGTTCTTTTAGAAGTTTGATAATAGTCTTGGGCTGTCCATTATGTAAATATAAAGAAAAACTTGGGGGCCAATGCCCCTCAGTTTAACTTTCTATTTACATAATGGACAGTCTTCAGCCATTATCCATTACTTATCAAAGTGACATTCAAGTAATTGAAATAATTTGTAACTAAACACAAAATGACGAATATATATGTACATAATTTATTAATACATTTGTACATAGCTTACATGAAATTGATGATGGCTAATATTTATGATAAAACATTTTTGAGCCTCTATTGCTTCATCTTGGAATAACCATGTTCCAACTTACTAGACTATGAGGGCTCAGTATTACTGATTATCATCAGAACATGTTGATTAGCCAACTATACAAACAAATGGTATGAAGCCAATTTTATGTCATTTTCAAATAATCCCCTCATCTCGTCCATAAACTACACTTACTTGGATTTTCTGAACCATATATAGCAGGTAATTTTCTTTGTAATTTGGTTATGCTAAGATGCTATTGCTATGTTTTGCTGTGCAGTACAATATACATGTTAATTACAGGCAATTTAATTACTGTATTAAATTATAAACCAAGTTGAGTATAAATGATTGATAGTTTAGTTTAATTAATTTATTGGCAAGAAGATATAACCACACCTTTCTGTTTAATACTCAAATGATTAATATATCAGTACTAAGAAATAATATTTGTTATCTTAGAGTGTGTTTGCCTGTTAAAATATGTTTACAACCTTGTTACTATGTTTTAATGTACTGTTAGTAGGTATGAATACAATTATTTTCCTTACATAGTGAGAACAATAACAATAAATTATTATAAAAATCATTGTTATAAATCAAATATTCTGATCACAGTCAGATTTTAGAAATAATATACAATTAGTCAAAAACAATTTAATTTTTATTTTTTAACAAAATTCTTTGAATTTACAGACCATCGATTTATTCAACCAATTTAATAGTTTTCTTTATAAATTTAAAATATAAACTTATATTTACAACATCACTAGTTTGTATTTATGAAGTTAATCATGAAATATTTCATCACGAAAGTGCCTATTTAAATTTAATGGGGAATATTCATCGACATGAATGTTTTATAAATCATAAAAAAAACAAGGAGAACCACAATTGCATACAACTTGGATTTTTTACCTAAAGATACATTCCCGTGTACAAACTTTGTGATTTAATGATATATTTGGACTAAAAACATATTCAAAGTGACCAATCTATCAAAAATTTGCTTCAATTCCCTCTCAAAACTTTGTATTCGCCGGGGATACCTATAGCTATACGTAAGCTGTTGTTAGACGCAATGTCTGTTAAATTAGCTTCATTGTGGGAGGGTCCATTTTTCAGAATGTAATTATCATTACTTACTGTTCATTTACCATACCTATTGAGGCCTAAGTAAATTCTTAATTATTTCTGTCAACTTCTTTTTCCGCCGTTTATTTGCAGAGTCTTTTGTACCTTGACACCCCTCAATGTTCCCAAAACCACCTAACCATTTGATCAAGAAATAACAACCGCTCCCTCACTTAAGCTGGCACACAATAAGCTGGCAGATAACCGGTTGCCAGTTAGCGATACCCTGACAATTTTGCCCAGTGCTTGCCCCATTGGCGTTTTTCGGGTCATCCAGTATTTTTCTAGTAAGATTGGGTGTCTATACTTTCCATGTATACCAAATTTGACATACTTTTATTGGAAAGAACCACCCGATAAATACTTTGCTGGGAAAGTATCTTTAACAAAATCTAAAACTAAGTGTTATTTTCGTTCTGGTTTTGTAGACGTCACTCCATTAAGACCTAAAGACACATTTATGATTTGAGAAAAGTGAGTACTGGCCCTGTGACAAAAACTTAATAATCCCATTCACTTTAATAAAGACAGCAAATGAAATGTCTCAAATCAAATGATTTTCGCAGAATTTTCTGTACAACACTCTGATTAGTAGGTTGACATGTAGTTGAACAATCACAACCTGTGCATTATTGAATGTGCCATATAAAGAAGTGGAGTATACAACTAAACCATCACCCCAAAAAACGGAATGAAATGCATATATAATTTTAACTTGATATATAATATTAAATAATCAGAAATTCGGAGCAGAAACTTTTAAATGTTCAACCCTGTTTAAAGATAGATTATGCTGCAGGAGAAATTTTTAAAACAAATAATAATGCAAATTAGAATTAAATACATTAATTCTGATTCATATTTTCTATGACATATTAAAGAAAATTACAAAACAGCCTGAATAGCTACCTCATTAAGCAACGGAATCATGAAATGTAGAACACCCTAGGCGACCTTCGGTTATCGTGATTTCTTGACTATGGTCGAACTAATTGAATCAGAATTTCATTTAGTCCGGACCATAGTCCGAAAATACTGAACCATGCTATTGTGGCATGGTCGGAGTAGTTCCAAGATGGCGGTGTCGATGAAACCAAAGTGTAGAATATGTAGAAAGAATCTATTTTTGTTAAGTATATAATTTTAAGAAAGCTTGAATGAATTTTAAATGGTTGCTACTTCTATGAGCAGATATTTTTTGTCTCGTATGTTATGTCTAAATCTATGTAAGTCTAAAAATTATGCATTATTTCAATATTTGCACTATGCAAAGAGTAAAGTCAAGTTACAAGGAATTTTGTTGTCTCTAAAATTAATTTGAACTATATAAATATAACACAGTGATTCATTATCCTCCATGGAGAGATGTATAGACCGTCCTTGGGGTTACTGTTGTTTTTTTTTCAGGGTTATGGTCGAGGTCTAAAGCAGAGTAAAATGACATCACCATGTCCCTGGGGGCAGCCATCTTTGAACAGACGATGGTCCAGACTATTCATGTTCGGTTTCTATTTAGGACCACTAGTTGTGAAAAACTTATAACCAAAGGTCGCCCTATAAAATAATCAAGCATTATAACAGAATTACACAGGAGACAATTCAGTAATAAACATTAATTGTATTCCATAGAATTGTGTCCTGTGTATTTCCAGTTCAATAATTAAAAGCCAGTAACAGAACTATGATGTAAGTACGTTTGAACTATAAGAAACCAATGAAGATCATTTAAAGAGCAGGATACCAATAGTTGGATTCATTTCAGAGGACATGTATGCATTTATATCTACCTTCTTTGTTTTTTCTTGTTTCACAATATTTTGAATTTATCATTGTGACATGTCATATACAAATCTGGTGTGATTCTTCAAAATAGAATATTTCACAGTTTAATTGACTGATAAATATACCAAAACGAGCCCTTAACCCAAAATATCCCAACATTTAAGTGTAACTATTACATGAGGCAAAATGTATCTGTATTTAAGGCAGTTACGATATTTTATCATATATAACATAGCATGTAGTTGAAACTCTGCATTCAAAGAGTACTGTACATGGCATGGACATTTTTCATATGGTGTTGGTATCACGAGCACCTATTGGCTAATCAAATTGTCTATACTGCTTGGACTTTGTTTTGTGGTGAATTATGGGAATTTTAAAACCCAAGTATATAAGAATGGATCTGATGGGTTTTTGTTATTTTACTTGTAAATTTACACTTTATTGTTTATTACATGCACTTGAGCTCATTTACACTTAATTGTTTAATACGTGTACCTGTGCTCAAAGCAAAATATGCCATCCAAAACAGTATCATTTTTTTTTCTTTTTTAACGGTGAGTTATAAAATTGAGGAAAAACTTGGGGTCAGGGGTAAGACTTTGGTAACTGCCTCTGCTCAGTAATTTAGCCCATGTTTACATCAAACTTTTTCATTTGATTTTTTGCAACAGTTGAGACAATTCTTTTGATCCTACAATCTTAGTACCATAATATCGAAAGCAGAATTTTTAGTACTTAGTTATTCCTGTGATGAAGATATTCTAATAAATGAATGATAAACTCTTTATTTCTCTCTCAGAATCAAATAATTTTGGTTTAGTTGAATATGATACATTGATGAAATAGAGATTAAGTATTTTCAATTTCAGTATTATCCTTACGCCCCTTTTAAATTAGGCAGCCTTTCATGTTTTTAAATACAGCATGTATGTATAATAATACAATAAATCAACATTAAAAAAACAAAAGTGTAAATTATTCATTGATTCAAAATCATAACAAATCTTATAAAGCGTTTAATTTAATCAACGATCATAAAAATAAACATGCAACAAGCTAAATTCATTATAAAATAGACTTTGATAAAAATAAAATTAGAGCTTGAGTTAAGTCAAAATACAGACCTTAAACTCTTAAACCATTAACAGTTTGTTTAAAATATTCAAAATATACAAATTATCATAGATTGGTAAAGATTACTAGTAATAATATGTGATTCTAATTCTATAATTAGAAGTCTTACAAAATTCAAATTAGCAGTAGACCTACTGAGTATATATTGGTAATAAAGATATATATTTGCTATTTTAAAATGTCCTTACTACGGTATGCATAAAGCGCTTGCCCGCAAAACATGGCAAGCAAAATTTTGATATATTAGGCAATACTAATAAAAAAAATTCTGGTTCTCAGACTATCCTTCCATGTCTATAAGTAATGCCTGTAAAGACCAAATTCTTGAGAAAATAAAACAGGTCATGTGTCCCTGTTTTAGTGACGCAGGAGTATCTGAGAACCAGACTATTATTTTTGTATGGCCTTATATGCCCTCATTTAGATCTTACTAAAGGGAAGTATTAGTAAAATATAATTCAATAAGTTGGGTTTCCAGAGAAAATTGTCACTAAAGCTGAAAAGGATGATCTTTTATTTTTCATAAACCCTCTTCATATTCTCTGGTTGTAGCATAAAATTTCAAATAACAAATTCAAAGCTCTCTGACTTTATTTATTTTACACTAGTGGTATCAGTGCTAAAATATTCATTGACTTGAAGCAGATAAAGCAACTTTTAGATGGGTGTATATGGCATATAGCAGAAGTGGAATTACCTCCTGTTGAATGATTTGGGAGTAAGTTAATTGACTAGAGAAAGACTAATGCATATCATTTCTTTTAATTTTAAAGGAAGATGTTTTAATAACAACATAATTATGTAAGAACATTTATAGCCCCTTCAAAAAAATAAAACTTTTATTTTCAAATCAAATGCTATGTTGTTTCTAGTTGCTATGTATTCGTCGGAATGTAAAATATTTTAAAATTTATGAACACAACACCATACTGATTTCTTAGAATACATTATTATGTATTTGGAAAAAAAAGTTTAGCCATATATATTGCTGTATGATTATGGAAGCCAAATACAGAAACAAAACAAAAAATCAAACAATTTAATGCGATATTATGCTCAAAAGATTCTCTTGATTAGAACTAGCTTATTTAAAGTATCTGTTAATGAGAATATGTAAAACCTACATATATATCTGAAACTTTCACTGTTTCAATGGCACAGTGTTGAGTCTGATACACATTTATTTTACCCGTAGTTTAGCTGAGAATATAGAGCGAAATGTCCCTTCAAGTTCAATCAAGTTCGGAAATAAAAGTATCAGTAGTCCATTAAACCGCAAAAGTATGCACAGGACAAAAGTTCAAGTTTAAAATATTTCTTTACCAGTTTGACATTTGATGAAGCAATATTATTAACTGACACATAAAAATCAGTTTTAAGTTGAAAATTATTACTCTACAGGTTAATACGAGATCATAATATATAAAATTGTTCACTATCTTAATGAATGTGGATGTTTATTAAAAAATCCCCCAAGTTTTATTCAATATCAAATTATTACTATATAATGTTAGTGTAATAATATACAAGTTATATATAAAAAGCTATTGGTATAGATTGAAATGCATTGTATATGGTAGTATATGATATATAACAAAATTAATACTACATATATATGTACCTTCAATACTTATCATTGTACATACACTCATTGAGTTTATTAATCTACTTTCTTGTCAGAAAGGAAATCCTTTTTCAAGATATAAATAGTTTATGTAAAAATTATGTCTATTTCCAGTACAGTGCAACCAATGAAAAAACATAATCACCCACTTACACTGGGATCTTGTGATACCCCATAGGGTTAAGAAAATAATGAAATAACATGGCATGTATAATTCAATGAGTAAGCTTGGGTCATCACCACATATTTTAGCTGCAATGTATACAGATAGCTATAGTCTTGCTATAACAAAGCTAATGTCTATAGATAGCTATAGACTTGTTATAACAAAGCTAATGTCTATAGATAGCTATAGACTTGTTATAACAAAGCTACAGCTATAGTCTTGTTATAACAAAAACTAATATCTATAGATAGCTATAGTCTTGTTATAACTAAGCTAATTTCTACAGACAGTAAGCTAATGATAATTAAAATATAAATATCAGCTCAACAAAAATCCAAATTGCAAACCATTCCCTTAATTAACATACAGATTAATACAGAATTATTTGATATAGCATTATCAATTAATGATTAAAATTAAATGAATTGAACATGCTTATTCTATGTTATTTTATGTATATGAAAGTGTAAAATAATATGTACAATGTATAAATTTGACAAGATAGTATTTTGTTTTTACTTTTTATATAAAAAAAAAAAGTGGAGTTGTGTCAGAGCCCATTAGTTGCACTATTTCCTATAGTATTACTGTGTTTATTAACAAATGAATACTGATTATTTACAAGTCCATTTGGGACATCTTGAACTAGAATATTTTTAGCTTCGATGTTCAGGTAGCTCTCTGAAGAAATTTCATCTGTTTTTTCAGTTTCTGGCTTTAACCTCTTTCGAACTTGCAAACTATCTTCATTGTTGCTTTCTTCAATTTTATTTTTTGGGTCCCCTGTTACATCTTTTAAATAGTCAATCAAAATATCAAAAAAGTTGTCAATGCCATCATATCCTGAAATATGAACAAAAAGACTGTAGAACATAATATGTTATAAATATTGGCGTATGAGGACTAACAAGCTGTGACATATTAGTTTTTTAAAGGCGGGTAATTTGCTTGAATACAGATATGAATCACTGGATTAATTCCAAAATGAAAATGATCATTTAACTGGGACTTCTAAGGCGTTTTTACGAGAAAACAAATCGGTTTCGATTACCTATCTCGTTTTGTACAAAGACATAGGTCTCGAGTTGGTATTCGAATCGGTTCTCGTAAACGCGAAGAGTTGCCTCGCAAGATGGCTGAAGACTGAAGAATTGAGGAAAAATGTTTAAAAAATTCACTTTTCTTTATTATGTTCTTGGCGACACCCCCCAAAAATAAAAACGAAAAGTTGTACCAGTTGACTGTCCCCAAATGCCCCGTATTTTTTATTAGGAATGTCCATAATATTCATATTTTAACGTGAAATTCAAAAGAAAATGATCTAATGTCGGGCACGTCGTGTCCCTTGTTGGGGACGCCATCTTGGAAATCGAATCGTCAATCCGGCAGGCGAGCAAGTTGGAAGATTTGCATAATCTTTTTGGCAAATTGTCATGGTAAATACGACAATTAGGTGAAACCGATTAGGCTAATTTTTGCCGTAAATGCGTTTGGAAAGGAAATGCAAATCGATTAGCCCTAATCGGTTTCTCGTAAAAACGCCTATAATATATTTTGAAATTAACGAAAGTAAACAGGGTTAACATGGGTCATTTAAACATTTGATAAGTGCATATAAGCTTCCACTGTCTTGAAAGTTACAGGTTTTAATGCCCCAACCCCCATAAAAAAAATTCTTGATAATATAAATAATTTGTTGTGTAGCAGTATGTATTTTGATTAATTTTAAATGTGTAAAATGGACCAGCAACAGGCAGAAATGACAACATGAGCTCTTTGGACGATTTCGTGAAATCCTGAAGAGAAGAATTTTGTAATATTTGATTAAAACAACATACCAGGGAATGAATTGATATCTATCACAGCATAGCTTTTAATCTCACTATCAATAATAACATCTACACCAAATAAATCTAATCGCATGGCCCGACGAATACTTCTTCCAACCTCAGTTAATCTTTCCATATCTGGTACAACAGGTGAACTGTCTAAATCCGAAGCATCAAGCTATAAAAAATTATTCAGAGTTATTCAAATAACTGATGTCATAAATAAAAGCTGGTTCAAGATTCAGTCTAAGACCATGGTGATTAATTAACTGGAATTTGTCTTTTGTGAGTGATTTAATAGGTACAATCTTGTCGAGTCAATCTGATTAAAAACAGATCCTATTTAATTTCGTTTTTTATAATTCAAAATTTTGTTTTACTTGTCTTTACTACACAAGGAACTCGAAGAGTTGTTATATAACCTGCGTTCTGGTTAATGTGAGGGACTAGCCAATGAAACGTTTTGTTACGGCGAGATCTTGGCGTAGGTATCCCGCTAAAAACATCAACGCTGATTGGTTAATCAAATGTCTGACATCATAGGGTCAGAAGCAGCTCGTATGACCCCTAACACAACCTTCCATTACAACCAGTCATATCTTCAGGTAATGGAGGCCATCGAAAGTATAAAAAAGTGAAACGAAATATAGATCTGTATTTTAATCAGATTGTTGTAGAGCATTATGGTATGACACGGGACTAGAATTACAATACTAAAATTTGTAACTCTACCGTAATCTTAAATACAATAAATGCAACACATTTTATGGTGTTGATTGAGCAAAAAAAGAAGAAAGAAATTTAAGGCCTTGTGTGGTGTTGTATAAGAATATGAAAAATTTTATTAGAATATTAAAACAGGCTTACTACTACATGTACTATAATGAAAGGGAATAATGGTTCTGATTGATTTTTCAAATATGCATTTATTTTTTGAAATTGGTAGGGTTTTTGTACCAAGTGAAAATGAATGTTAGCCTTCAACAGACCCACAGACAATGTAGCAATATCTCCCACATGACCTGTGAATGTGTATGAAATTGAACAAATAATAAAAATATATCAAATTGTTTTATAAATCTACTACAGTAATGAGATAATATAAATCTTACTTGGTTCAAAAAATGTGTAGAATCTCGTTTAGAAACTTCTTGTGTATCAAAGCAAATAGTTGCCTGATCTGAAAAGTCAAATGCACAGTAATAAATTGTCTGATAGCAAACACATCATACAGATCAAAGTGACTGAACTGCAAATAAAACACAGGGAAATTTTACACTTATGACTATAAACCCACTTCAAGCCTTGATGCCTAAATTTAACAAAGTGTTCTTTAGATAGTAATCTTTAAGATACATTATGGGAGATTCGATAACGAATTGGCAGTTCTCACTATAATAGTTTAAAACTAGGTAATGTAAAGGCAATTTGCTGAAAATTTCATTCAAATTAATCCACTATGAACCGAGAACTAAGCGATTGAAATTTCTGCTCAATATGATGACCCTTTATCTGCTCAATATGACGATCACTTTATCTGCGTTTATTATTGTGTTCAAACTCACCAGAAGGATAAAGATTTTTTAGCGATGGCCTCTCTACTACAAAAACTTTACTGCCAATAACGAAGATTTTAAAAAGTACAGCATTGTGATTGATAAATGACTGGGCAACACATGGTGGGTTAATATCTTTTAAACCTTCTTCGTTGAATATTATAGCCATCTACAAATAAAAGAGTTATGTTTTAAAGTATTTCGCTGTCAAAATGTAGAGGTTGAAGTTTCGCAAACTCTGGGTCCCATTTGGAATTGCATTTTGAATAGGAAGACAAATTGGATTTAACATCCACTCAACACAAACTAAGTCATTTCGGGACTTACAGGGTATTTTCTATTTTCAGCTTTTTTGACAATATAATACAAATTGTTACATGAAAGAATTGAGTTATATAACCTTAATTTATGTTTTATTGATGTGATAAAAATACCACAAATCAGTTTATGATGATCAACATTTTCCCGAAGTCGTTTAAAGATATACTATTCAACATAATTAGAAGGATTATGGAGGAGCTACTGTCTAAGCCGTGCTAAAAAATAAATCATGACCTTTTAAAACGAATTAACAGACAATGAGCATATTTTTATGTGAATGCCCAAATTCAAAACCGAGCAGAGACTAATAGCTTTTTCATATGCAAAACTTCAATAGCATGTCGTTCACAAAATCATCTATCCCAATGAGTAATGCAATTAGCTCAAATTATGGTGCCTTCCACTGTCAAAGTTTTAAGAAACTACTCATTTTGTTCCTGGATGGTGGGGGGGGGGGGGGAAGCTCCTCCAAAGACGCCTAAGGCTTCACCAATCCATTTACAATTGACATGAAACTGGACAAACTGGCTCAGACAGTAGACATAATTTTGTTACTAAACCTACCATATGTGCCATTCTTGAGCCATGAGATGCAGTTGGTTTACAAACTGAAATAAAATAAACAAGGCGACAGTGAGGCTGATGTCCCCCGCCGAAATCCCAAAATAAATAGATGACACATATTAATTAATCGCACATTTATTTTTTTCAAAAGTATCAAGCAATCAAACTGATTATCAACTATACACTAACTTTCATCACTCTCTATCAGATAGAATCAAAGTTATCTTGTTCCAAAGCATCGACCAATGAAATTGTTTACCTCAGTTTAGCTTTAGCTCGAAATGCTAATCTTTGAACTCAGTCAAGACATTCACTTAATGAACATCTATATCAAGTTTAAACATTCTACCTCGATTAAAAGCAGAGTTGTTATGTTTCAACATCTTGACCAATCAAATTGCTTATCGATCCTTAGCCTCAGCAGAAAAGTCTCATCATCAAACTTAGTCATAAATAACATAATGAATCTATACTCGGAGCTTCATCACTCTCGCTTAATTAAAACCAAAGTTATTGGCCCTAAAGCATCAACCAATCAGATTGCTTATCTCTGCATACCGTAAGCAGACGATGTTTATCATCAAACTCCATCATGGCATTCACCTAATGAACACCTACACCAAGTTTGAACATTCTACCTCAATTAGAAGGAGAGTTATTGTGTTTCAAAGTCTCGACCAATCAAATTGCTTATCACTCTGCTTACCCTAAGCAGAAAATGCTTATTATCGAACCTTGTCAAGGTATTGATGTAATGAAACTATACACCAAGTTTCATCACTCTCACTTAATTAGAACTAAAGTCATTGTGTCCCAAAGCATCAACCAATCAAATTGCTTATCTCTGCTTACCCTAAGCAGAAAATGCTCATCTTCGAACTCCATCAAGGCATTGACCTAATAAACACCTACACCAAGTTTGAACATTCTAGCTCAATTAGAAAGAGAGTTATTGTGTCCCAAAAAGTGTGACTGACAGACCCATTTTAATAGTCCCCTGCTTTCTTCGAAAGGCAGGGGACAATAAGCAGAGTTATAATGTCAATAATACATAGGACAATTAGTATATTGATATTTACAGGACACAACTGAACAACTGAGGCATAATAAAATTAAAAGTGACAGCTGTAAAAATCCAGTCAAGTGGTTTATGATCTATAGAATTTCAACCTAAGGTTGCCAGGTCTGAGTGCAATTAAGAATGGTTACAATAAGACTCTATTGAACACTTTGTTCCTTTTATACAAAGGCATGTATCTTGAAGTTATTGGTGGAGCTTTTTCTTTTACTGAACAAAATAAAATATTCCAAGAAAAAATATTTTTAGCAGCTACAAAGTTCAGAAGGTTTTGTAATAAAGGGTCACACATGGAAACTACATCTCTTTGTAGTCAATTATAAGTTATCAATAAAATCAATAAAGATAGGTTGCCAGGCAACTAATAGTTATTCATACATCCATAGCAGCTAAGTCATCCGTGCAGTACATAAAGGCTGACACTTTTTTTATTCCTTTGTAGATAATGGTAGGATTTACAAGACACAAAAAACTGATAATATACAGGGGCTTGCATTTTACAAAATAAAATATGTCACTACAATATTTACCAAAAGGATATGTAACTTTAGCTTCTGTTAATTTTTTTCTATTAATTTCCATATCTTTTGTCGTAAGTTGAACAAATGTTGGTGTGAAGACTGAAGAATCTGTAAACACATAAAAACAGAATCCTTTATAAATTTTAACAAGCATTCTGTGGGTAATACTGCTATACACAAGGGATAAAATAATATAGATATTAGATTAATGTCCATTTACAATTTTCATGCAGCACAATTAGTTTTTGTGAATGAAAGTTCAATGCTCCAATGCGGAGTGTTCCGACGATTCCACTTTCAGAAAGCATTGCAGAAGCAATATCGGTCCCTACAAATTTTACAATATAATGCATTTATGATGCTGATACTGCGAATACATAATCTAAATACAGGAAGATAGAATAAATTCTGTAAAACTTAATTTTCACTGAATTGGTCTGCAACTACAATATGAAACACAAACTAATCTACAGTAAATTTCTGCTTTGCTTTTACTGTCACTGAAGGGGATGAAACAGGACTAATTTAATGAAGTGGGGTCTAACATCCATTCAACACTAAATAGATCATTTTGGGAATAACATTAATTCACAGGGTTTAAATGAAAAAAATTAGCCCCAGCTGTTTCTCCAATGCTGGGGGCTAAGGTTTCAATATATATCGCATAGAAGGTGTGGGAGAGAAGTTTTGAGGGTCCCACCCCAATAATTTTTGGAATTTGTAAGCCCCTTAGATGGCTTCTGCTGCCATTCCTCAACAAAATATTGGACATTGTTTTAAGAGTCTGGTGTCTTGAACTGCAGTGACTGAGGTCTTTAACTTTAACTTGGTTTTACAAATAGTTAGCAACTGCAAGTAGCTATCCCATAAATAGACTTGTTTAAGAGTGGCAGTAATATTTTTATTACTCTCCAGAAAGAGATAAGAACAGGTTAGTGTGTGTTAAGTATCTTTATTTAAGAAATAATAAATACTTGGCAACACTCTAATTAGGTCATTCGTAATAAAGTAATCTGTTCATGGATGATAGGTGACCACAGGAGAGTTACATAGACGTTACAGAGGGTTTATATGTAAAACAATGGATGTGGTTTTACCTTGACTAAGCAGATCACATTTTAAAACTGATTTATACTGTTTGTTTCTGTTCAGAAGTTTCTGAAGGCTGTCAATTGGATCCATCATAATACATTCTGGGTGATCTTGTACATACATCTAGTAATAGAAAAAAAAAGTACACAATGATAAGGGAGCCGTGGTGGCTGAGTGAGTTAGATGCTGGCTCACTAACCTGGAGGTTCATGGTTTGATCCTTGTGTTGGCCGAGAAAGTACATCACAGTTTTTCCAGTGATTCCCCGGTGTCAGTGGTTCAGGATGGAAGGCCTGGCAAGGGACATGCAGTGTCTATTTGTTTGGCTGTTATGAGAAAAAACTGAGGTCCTGTATACATGTAAAAGAACCCTTGACAGTTGGAATTCATTTCACACACTGATGGTATCAGCTAAGTTGGTAATCAACAGGACAGAACGTGAATTTCTTCATTATTGAAATTTTAGAGAAATATATACATGTTCCCTTGAGCATAATTAGTACATCTTTTATCTAAAAGTATTTCTAATAACCATGAAAAAGTCCATGAAATAAATCAAATACACATTATAACACAGTCATCTAGGGTATGGCATTTTGTATTTGAGTATGTGCTGTGGACATATGTTGAATATTAACATGCACTCATTCAGTCAACCAATCATACAATTAAAGTGAGGTGTTATACGTAATGGTACCTACATGTACTTTAACATTTATATTATTTAGATAGATGTATTTTTTAAGATATATTGGCCCGCCAACAAATCTATTTTCCCTGACAGTTTACATATATTTTCTAATGACTGCCATATGTATTTAGAATCTAGACCATCAAGGGAATATACCTTCAAACATATTTATTGATTGCTAGGTCATAATTAACACTAACCCTTTGTTCTAGTGTCTTTATATCTGTGAAAGAATTTTGAGACAATTAGTGTATATTTAGATTCATTCATAATCTATTATAAACAAGCAGCCACCAAAGTAATGTAAAGCAAGAACTTCTTTTTGTGTGGGTGTGAATGACCCTAGAGAGCAAATAAAATATGCTGTAAGAATATAAGAGTTACCTGCATGCGTTGTATATAGTCTTGAGCTGGTTGATAGCCTTCATTAGCTTTAGCTAAATAATCTGTTAATTTATGTATAATTACATCAAATGGTCCCTGTTGTTCTAGAGGTGCTGTTAGGTCAATCTGAAACATGAGGAAAAATATTATAATTAATAATACATAATCGTAAGTCAAATCTGTAGCAAAATTTCAGGCATAAGCTTACTTACACACTAAAAGATACATTATGGAAGATAAGATAAAGAGCTGGCAGTTCTCACTATAATAGTTAAAAACTAGATAATGTAAAGGGAATTTTCTTAAAATTTCAGTCAAATTGATCCACTCTGAACCGAGAATTTAGCGACTGAATTTTCGGCCTAGCCTCGATCATCATTACTAAAGTCGGTACCATAAAAAACAGTCTTGATTATCCATTTCATGATTTAATCATGAATGAAAGTTGAGCAGCAAATCGGATCCTAATCCAGAAAATATCGCAGGCTAGCGATGACATCGAGAGTTGATTATGTTCTGGACAAGTTAATTCATGTCTAATTAATTATTTAGATAACATGAGCAGATTTAGCAATAAGCAGATTTAGCTCTTGCATAATGTATGTTTAAGACATTTGGTTAGATATAACAATCTGTCTATAGATGATGACATAATATGACATACCAGTATTACACACTTTAAGAAGTCAATAACAGTTCAGGTTAATGTAAAATATAGATTAGCTTTAAGAAAACTATAACTTATTTTGAATGCAACTGGGATATTTTTGCTACATGCCAATTCACCTAACGGTATAAACCTGACCATCTCAGGGTTTTGAAATACATATTATGTAGTGTCATCAGTTACCACTTTCACTCAATTATAATCAAGTTATCGTTTCCCAAAGCACTGACCTACATGCATCAAATAGCCCGTCTCATCTTAGCCTTAGCGGAAAATGCTAAGAAGACTTATTGTGTTCTAAAGTCTTGACTAATCATTTTGAAGTTTCAACTTTATAGCATATGCTGAAATTGCTCATCATCGAACTTAGCCAAGTTTCACAACTTGCACGGAATGAGAATCACAAAATTATCATGCTCCAAAGTCTCAACTAATCAAACTGCTAAACGTCAACAAAAAACGCACATTTTCAAACTTAGTCAAGCTATTTAATATTGAGAGAAAGAAATTGGGTTTAACGTCAACTCGACACAAACTAGGTCATTTCGGGACTAACACATGGTTCAATTTTATTTCAATAATTTACTTGCGCGTAGGGGTCTTTAGCAGTGGGGAGAAACCGGAGGACCCGGAGAAAAGCCACAAGGTTGGACAGGTGACCCTACTCCTTGTCACATACAACCAGGGAATCAAAACGCCAGTTGACTCAATGACAGAACGTATGATACAGCGCGCACATGCTAACCATTTGCCGCCGCCCCCGGGCTACTATCGTCCAGGCATCTTGTGCACAGATTAGTACAATTAAATAGAATAAAATGGTACCAATACGAAACACTTACCAAAAATGGTAATTGCCCTGCACTAATAGCTGTCGTATCTATACTTTTTATATAAGTAAGAGCGGGATTAAAGTTCCCTTCAGATATCATTCAGACATCTTAGGGAATACTTCATTGCTGTTTCTAGAGGGAAGTTCCGTACACCCGCCTTGGCTGATTTCTGGGATTCAGATATAATAGTGCGGTCCTAGAGGGACATTTAGCCGCCTCGAATTAGGGACCGAGGTGATTGCCATGTAGACGTAGAAAGAAGAGTATCATGCCACAAAACACAAGCTAAGGGATAGGGAGCTTATATTTAGCTTTTATTTAATGTCATAACTGTGTGTGTAGTTTCCTTTATATAACCTATGTATTATGGATGTGATAGACATATATAAGCATAGTTATAAAAATACAGTGTTCCAGACTTAATTGATCATTGAGTAAAAAAATACTCAACATGAAAGTCCTGATAAGAGGAGTGTCACCACTGTGTCATTGGTCATTTTCCAGAGATCCGAGACGTAAGAAAGTGTCACATCTAATTTCTTTTTGGTACCGAGACACAGGATAGTGTTACACGTGTATGTGACAATGGGACAAGAAGTACTGTCCCCTGCCAAATCTAAAGATCCCTGAGCACATTATTGAATTAATCCAAATCTCTGTCTCTCTAAAGAATTATGTCATTAGTAGAAAATCTCTGTATAAGTTAACATGTGAATTTGTCCTTTGTAAAAATTCAGTCTCAAATACTATATTTCCCTATGCCCATTATAAAGACAACTCAGCACAAAATCTGTTACTACTATAAACACCAAACTGTATTTATAAACTGTTAAACATATTAACCACCTTTATTCACTTCTTTATTTCCGTTAAATAATAAACACAAGATAAGAGATAACAGTTGCATATATATTCAAGATAAAATAAATTATCTATTCATGACTATCTGAGATAATACGATATACTGCATTCACTTTGTAATTAACACTATAATAATAAATGGTACTCCGGATAAGGCATTAATACTTAATATTTCAGATTATCAGTCTAACTTCCCAGAATCAGAGCATAAAATCCATAATGGTTAATATCATTACTAATTTACTTTTCCAGTGGTATCAGAATATCTTACAAGACAATGTGCAAGGACCAAATGGCACAGGTGACGACAATATGTAACCACATCAATATTATGGTATAGAAAAGAATGGAATAATCTTTGCCCCTGCGTCCTTACTAAATACAATTTCTAATGAATTGAAAAAGTACATGTACATGTATATCTGTTTCGTTATTTTGAGCAGTAAATAATTGTTCTTCCTTGATGAAAAGAAAGGTTGCCAGGCAACAAACATATGTCCACAGCAGCTAAGTCCTCCAAACAGTCTTCAAGGGTTGTCACATATTCATTGGTTTGCAAGTATTAGGAGCATAAATTTACAAGAAAATAAAACGGTTCAAAATTAACAACCCATTAAGTAATTATCAGAAATAATGAAACATTAATTTTTCTTCTAGTTCTTCTTGTTGCTGACTTAAAGTTATTATACAAAAGCTGTAGGCCTGCACGTAAACAGATTTAGTAGTTCAAGTGATCATTGAAAATCAATGGATTCTTCACATACTGGAAATTATTGAAAAACAATGGGCTTCTTCATCTCATGAATTTCACTCAAATCGGATAATAACATTAGCCAATAGGGTGATCATAAGAGTCTTCAAGGTGATCAAGGGCCATAATTCTGGCTGTAATTATGGGAAATCTTTAAAATCAAAAGGCTTCTTTCAGCTCATGCACTTAAACAGTGTGTACATAGTTAAAGTTAATCGGATATGGACTGTAGCCTCTAAGAGCGCCCACAAGCAATTGCAGAGGACGGACAGACATGGACGTGGTTGATGACAATATACGATCACATTTCAACATGAGCTTATAAAGATAGGTTGCCAGGCAGCGAAACATACACCCACAGCAGCTGAATCATCCGGGCAGTCAACAAGAGTTGTCGCATATTTTTACTGTAGTGGTAATGAAATATTTATAATACACTAAAATCCGATTAAGACTAACATCTCATTAACTAGTTATCAGAAAATCATTGGAATTTGAATAAATTTAAAATCAATAGGCTTCTTCGTCTCATGATCTTAAACACTGTGTATAAACTCAAAGTCAATCAGATACAAGCAATTTGGACGCCGGACGGCCGGAGGCAATGACAATATACGACCACATTTCAATGTGGGCGTACAAGAATTAATTATCATGACCAATAATTGTCTTAAATAATATCCTATTCATTGTAACAAATAAAAAAACTTCAACAGATGCCACTACTCATAAGTAGCTAGGAACCTGGATTTAAAATCTTAAGAGGTTTTCCTTCTTGAAATCTATTGAAAAACGTTAAGACCAGTGTTAATAAAATCCAATGTGGATGTCAAAACACAGGGTCTATGATGGGAAAGTAGTTGAATGTAATAAATCAATAAAATTATACAGGCCAGAAGGACCTTCACGAAAGCTATATGAATTTCCGTTTATGTCCGCCTTGGGCCACAGCTTATTTCACACCTTGTATCTATGACTATTAAACCGATTCTTAATTCCGATGGATTGACAGCTAAGTCTATAAAATTTTCCACATGACTGATTTATCAGTATATTTGGATCAAGTGAAATCATTAACTACATTTCAAAAATAAACAAGTGTCTTTCATTAAATCAACATATAATGTGTATTATTTAGACATCTTTAAACATACATTATGCAAGAGCTAAATCTGATTATTGCAAGTCTTTATTTAGGCTTCAGATGTCATATAAATTATAAATTAGATCTTTATTTACACAAGAAGCACAACATCAACTCTGTAGACCCACGGATGGCTTGGATTCGGCTTGGATTTAAACAGGATTTCATTGATTGATTAAATTTTTAAATGGCGTCGTAAGCAGAGATTAACCGTTACGTTGACGTCATACTCCTGGAAATGTTAGATCGATGCTAAATGATAAGAGTGTACGAAGCGTAGCCGCTGTTGAGCAAGGCAGCATGTCAGTCAATTTGATTGAAAGTTTGATATATACGGCCTTGATATTATGTTTAGTTGTGGTTAAAATGAGAGTTTGGGTGTCAGTATTATACGCTCTTTTGTCACTTAATTGTGTTTGCAGAAAAAATATGGAAATTGATAAACATCGCAGCTTACATCACCCCAGTTGAATTGTAGCCCCATTGGATCACTGTTTCCTATCTGTCTGCTTCGGGAGTTACGTAGGCCTACCAGTTACAGTACAAGAGTACACGCAGGCTAACAAGAAGTCGGCTATAATTATGCCTCATTGATTTGGTCCATTCCAAACTTTCGCTTCTTATCTATATATTAAAAGTCTTATTTTTAATTTGTAGTAAAAATAAATGTGATACGAATTGAATTGCAACCCCGTCTCAAACCGAATATGCTAACGGTACCACAGCCATTGAAAACGTTACTTGATAATCAAGATTATGTAGGTGGAGTTAACGCCTGTCAATCAAATGATCGGGCATTCTCGGAGACGTGAAGAGAGAGTCGATTCCTATTTTTAGTCAAAAATTACAATGGTGATAACTTTGTTCAGA